TTAACGCATCCGTGTCTTCAATACGGTGATTGACTATTGAGTATTGAGAAAAAAAATAACCCATCAGTGTTTCCAATTCTGTGAATTTCCAATGGTGGCGTATAAATTTTCCAACAACGAAGTGGCATAACGATAACGGCGATGTAATTCAGTTCAAGAACTTTTGGTCTTAGATATAGTCGTTTATGAGAGTACGATGGATTTTCTTCATACAATTAAACATGAACGTAAAAAAAATTGTTGTGAAATTTTTGATAGTTTACAAAATATTATATATATATATATATATATATATATTAAAAATAAATCACCTTTAATAGTTGAGATCGAGGGAGTTGGGAGAACAAAGTGGGTCACTGCTCACGTGCTAGATGGCCCTGGGATACCTGCGAACAAAGAACACGTGAATTAGGCCGGGGGTTGATCCGGCGGAAACCCCTCCGACGCTCAAATCAGACGTGCGAATAGTCGGCAATTGTAGAGAGAATTCGAATAGAAGAATTGATTGAATAATAATAGCGTACCTTAATTAAATGAACTTAAGTTATATTTATACTTTATTGATTAGGCCGAGATCAATTTATCGGGCCCAACCTAATTTGGATGTGATTGGACCTCCGAAGAAATAGCTATTAAATTGGGCATGTGGTCCAGTAAATACGGGTCTATTCGGCTGGGCCAATATACATATCTATATATATATATATATATATATATATATATATATATATATATATATATATATATATAGGGCTGGGACTGGGTTGGGTCGGTCGATTACCAGCCTAAAACCCGACCCATCCGTCAAACCATTTTTGCTCAAATTTGAAAACCGTTGCCGACCCAATCTTTGTGGGTCGGTTGATGGTTGACAACCGAATATTTGATTCCGGAATGGGTCGGTTGATGGTTTATATCCGCCACCTAGTTCACTTAAAAAATTCAAATTTTGAAGTAAAAGTATACATATTTTGCGTAATGACACGGTGAGATCATCATTCATCAGTTCAAAATAATTAATAACTATTAAACGAAAATATATAATTAAGAAATTCAAAGTAATTTCAAACATGCACAAGAG